TAAACACATTTCATTACACCAAATACACAAAATAATGTTCTTTTTAGCAACATCATATGACCCCTTTAAGTCATAAACTGGCACATTCCACAACCTGTCGTTTTGGCAGATTGGCTTCAATATAAGCAGTTTTTAGACTGACAAGAAAGTTTTGAGTTCTGAAACTTACAGGATGTTTTTGTAGTACAATGACCTCTTATATGTCAAAAGAAGGGAATTTTGATTTCTCAGTTCATGAACCCTTTAAGGTGTGCTTTTATGTTTATGCTTTGTAAAGTGCCGCAAATACTGGCTATACATATTATTGTTGCTACTATAATCAGTAGTAAACAAATGCATGACATGGATGGTCATGGCCTGGCATGGAGAATGAAATAGCTTTTTCTAAAAGATTGATCTCTCCTTTATATATATATATATATATATATATATAAATTACTTAAGTGCACTTTTAAGTTAAGTAATATTTAAGGATCTCCACAGCTTCCAACACAGAGACTTTGCATTTTCCTTCAGACAGCTGTCCTGTCAGATTTCACGATATAATCATAATGGTTACCTCAGTGAAAACACCATAACTCCAAGCAGATGTCTCACACAGCTGCTGCTCTTTCTCGCAAAACACTATTCCTCTGGAGTGTTTCACTTTCCTTTGCGTCAGTGTTGCAGTCATCCTCCAAGAGTAAGTTACTAGTATTTTCCAGCAGATGACGCTATTAGTATGCATTAATGCCAGGGTTAGGGCATTGGGAAGAAGATCATGCTGGAGTTGTTTGTTTTTGTGGTAACTAGGCTTGTAGCTCAACAAGGTTGAGGTTGAAACATGAATAACCTACATATACAGTTATTCATATACAGTGTAGCTGTCCAAAAAAAGGATGGATCAGGAAGAAAATGTATTAACATGAGCCAGGTGTCCTGACATTTTATCCGGCCTGGATGAAAAATCCACTTTGTTACAATTTGATCTGTAGACAGTAGAAGAGTTAAATGCACTGATTATTACTGTTGTTTTTATTTTTTAGATTATTGATACACATTAATTTATTTGAGCAAATCCTTTTTATACACAATTACCTTTAATGTTTAAGCCATAAGTTAAATAATGAATCATCAGCTTAATTAACGCCACATAATTATTTCAGTTGCATTCGTTTATTTATGGCACATGAAGTTATAATCAAGCGATTAAAAGTGATATTTTTAGTAGCTCACAACAGAATTTCCCGGAACTTGACATCACGATTAGTCATAGAAGGGGCGGGGCCACGTGTTTGCTCAGGGAGGATGGCTGAGCTCGCGCAAAGGGGCGGGGCCTAGCGGCTCAGGGTATTCCCTTCACCCAAACTGATGCAGACAATAACTCGTTCCTACAGAAGAAGTCTGGATGACAGAATATGGAGTTAGTTATAAAATAAAAATAATACATCGTAAACAGAGGTGACAGTCTTTCAGTAATGGTCTACATTACGGGGATACAGTCGGACGCCCTTGGTGTCAAACCCACGTCCCTGGACGAGCTATTTGAATCTAGCACATGGAAAATTAAAAACATTTGGGATGGGGTGAAGCTGGAGATCGCAGCCGGAGATGGATGCTCTGTGGTCTTAAATAGTTTTACGCATTTGGACCCTGATCTGCCTGTGCTGGAGGTAATATACAGATTTAAACCAACATAATTCTTTTCATTTCCATTTTTGTATCTGTGTGTGTGTGTGTGTGTGTGTGTGTGTGTACACATACATACACACGTAGATAGATAACTCTTACAATATAATATACTACAATATTATAATATATTAAATATAAATATATTAGAAATGTCTATAAAGTTTTTTTCATCAATTTTAGGTTTCTTCCCCTGTTTTTTTCTAGACATTTTCCAGCATGTAGTGTCATTGTGTGTAGAGATTGCTGAGCTGGCATGAGTGTTTTTGTTGTGCTTTGCTAGTGTTTCTCTCTTTTGTAGAAAACCTGCAGCTTAGATACTTTCAAATAAGAAAGAAAGATTTCAAATACTTTTGCTCATCTGCAACTTCAGTTACAAATTCTTCTGACTTTATATGATCTCTGTCTTGTATATGTCTTAGACTGCCAAGACGGCTCAGAAGCTGCATCTGATGCGGCATATATATGACAAGACAGAATAAATGCATTTACAGAAATGTAAGAAGTAAATGAAGTAAAGCAAAAATCCGCCATGATCTTGGCAAGAGCACCGGCACACTCTGCTTTCCTCTTATTCACTCCGTCTCCAACTTTCCCCTCTCTAAATTCTCCCCAAAAAGGGCTGTGGAAATAAAAGTCAAATGAGAATCACGTCCCCTTCAGGTATTAAATGAAAACACAGCTTCAGGATGATTTAGTTAAGGACGTGGAAAGAAATGCTGTAATATGGAATTCATTTATCTGGGAATTTTGCTGACCTGTTAATACAATTCGATGTTACTGATGTTGTTATTTCTAGAGTTTGTTTATGATGAGATTGCCCACAGTAGTGCAGATATGTCAGCTGAGAATGAATGATTTTATTTGAGAACCTCTTATATAATACGTGACAACACATTTACTTGTCAGATGTGATGAAAGACTTTCATTATTGATTTCCTATTCGTGACTTCTCAAGCTCTCCAGCGCATAATATTTTTCTTGGTTGTTTTTGAACACGAGTTTTATTTTATCACCATGGCAGTCACACATTTTTTTATGGTTGCTAGGTTGTTATTGTAAACTTGTGATATCTGACTATGGTTTGTGAACAACATGTCCTCTTTTTATCTTGCATTTCAATGCCAACAGCACAATGTTGTGACTTAAACAGCATTTCACACCAAAACTTGTTTACCACATTGAAGTTTTACTCCAGTCATGCGCAAAAAGAAGGTTCCAGTTTGTCAGCAGCTGCTAACCTTCACTGGACTAAATCTAATCTGCTCTCATTACACAATTAGTGATGGTTAAATCTCCCATTCCACCCAGCACAGCACTAGAGCCCTTCTCCTTTGTGGGCGCATATGCTTCGATTTGTGGGTGCTCTTTGTTTTTCTTCCTCATTACAGAAATCATAATTTCTTTTCCAACCATTTTAATGTGAAAATGGTTGACTCATCTACCTACAAACGTCTAAAAAGTTGGCTAGGGTAACCATGAGTGATGGATGGAGTTGCAAGTAACTTTGCTATAAATCCTACTTTCTTATCTCTTTCTCTCCCATCCTCTTTCATTAAGGCATGGTTTGTAAAAAATAGCACTGCATGCCAGGCACTTATCTCTGCTTTTAGTGATTCAAGCCCGCAGATGGCTTGGCAAGAGCTCAGAGTTGGTTACATCAGCCCTGAAGACCTAAACCAAATCAGCCAGATGTAAAAGTACTCTTGTATAATGGATCATTACAAGCTCAGTAGTACATAGATCAGCTAATCTCTTAACGTAACAGCTGCCATAAAGGATCCAGTGTAAGATCTTGTGTAAGAGCACTTTAATGCTGTGTTATTGTCAGAAACAGTAACACAGCACTTGTAGCAAAATGAGTCAGGGAAATTGTAACAATCATTTTGAAAGAGTGATTGATTGGTAGTTTGTTTACTCCAAAATGTGTTTGCACATTGGCTTGATCGACTTGAAAAATACTATTTGTAATTGTAGCTTGATTTGAGCAACAGAAGCTAATTTTTTCTCATTTTAATGTTTCATATTTTGTTATCATCTTGACAGGTTAAAGAATTTAGACTTTATCAAGTGGATAGACTTTGATACTTATAGAAAATTGCTTCTGAGGCATTTATCCAAGATGTCTGTTAAGTGACTTGCCTTAAAGGTCCTTTGAATAAATAAATAAAGTAATTTTTAAATATGGTCCAAGATACTGTCAGCCTTTAAGTTTAGATGCAACACACTACCGATCAAAAGTTTGGGATCAGTAAATATTTTTTGACACCAAAGCTGCATTTATTTGATCCAAAATACAGTAAAACACTGTAATAGTGAAATATTATTACAATTTGAAATAACAGTCCCGTTTTTAGAATTTTTTAGCATCCATTATTCCAGTCTTCAGGGTCTCATGACTTGTGATATCTGACTATGGTTTGTGAACAACATGTCCTCTTTTTATCTTGCATTTCAATGCCAACAGCACAATGTTGTGACTTAAACAGCATTTCACACCAAAACTTGTTTACCACATTGAAGTTTTACTCCAGTCATGCGCAAAAAGAAGGTTCCAGTTTGTCAGCAGCTGCTAACCTTCACTGGACTAAATCTAATCTGCTCTCATTACACAATTAGTGATGGTTAAATCTCCCATTCCACCCAGCACAGCACTAGAGCCCTTCTCCTTTGTGGGCGCATATGCTTCGATTTGTGGGTGCTCTTTGTTTTTCTTCCTCATTACAGAAATCATAATTTCTTTTCCAACCATTTTAATGTGAAAATGGTTGACTCATCTACCTACAAACGTCTAAAAAGTTGGCTAGGGTAACCATGAGTGATGGATGGAGTTGCAAGTAACTTTGCTATAAATCCTACTTTCTTATCTCTTTCTCTCCCATCCTCTTTCATTAAGGCATGGTTTGTAAAAAATAGCACTGCATGCCAGGCACTTATCTCTGCTTTTAGTGATTCAAGCCCGCAGATGGCTTGGCAAGAGCTCAGAGTTGGTTACATCAGCCCTGAAGACCTAAACCAAATCAGCCAGATGTAAAAGTACTCTTGTATAATGGATCATTACAAGCTCAGTAGTACATAGATCAGCTAATCTCTTAACGTAACAGCTGCCATAAAGGATCCAGTGTAAGATCTTGTGTAAGAGCACTTTAATGCTGTGTTATTGTCAGAAACAGTAACACAGCACTTGTAGCAAAATGAGTCAGGGAAATTGTAACAATCATTTTGAAAGAGTGATTGATTGGTAGTTTGTTTACTCCAAAATGTGTTTGCACATTGGCTTGATCGACTTGAAAAATACTATTTGTAATTGTAGCTTGATTTGAGCAACAGAAGCTAATTTTTTCTCATTTTAATGTTTCATATTTTGTTATCATCTTGACAGGTTAAAGAATTTAGACTTTATCAAGTGGATAGACTTTGATACTTATAGAAAATTGCTTCTGAGGCATTTATCCAAGATGTCTGTTAAGTGACTTGCCTTAAAGGTCCTTTGAATAAATAAATAAAGTAATTTTTAAATATGGTCCAAGATACTGTCAGCCTTTAAGTTTAGATGCAACACACTACCGATCAAAAGTTTGGGATCAGTAAATATTTTTTGACACCAAAGCTGCATTTATTTGATCCAAAATACAGTAAAACACTGTAATAGTGAAATATTATTACAATTTGAAATAACAGTCCCGTTTTTAGAATTTTTTAGCATCCATTATTCCAGTCTTCAGGGTCTCATGATCCTTCAGAAATCATTCTAACATGCTGATTTAGTGCTCAAGAAATATTTCTTATTATGGCCATGTTTGTTGAAAACAGTTGTGCTGCTTAATATTTTTGTAGAACCCATGATAATTTTTTTTTCAGGATTCTTTGATGAATAGAAATTTCAAAAGAACCGTATTTATTTGAAATAGAAATCATTCTTATAAATGTCTTTACTGTCACTTTCAATCAATTTTTCCATTTTTACTGAATAAAAGTTAACAGAACTTACTGATCCAAACATCACTATTGTTAAGGTATGCTTTGATTGTTTACCAGTGAACAACGGTCAAAGAATTGACTGGCACTTTTGTCACTGGGTTTTCACTTTAATACATTTTGTCATTGTTTTCCTGTGTTTGTTAAAAGTGTTTACAAATTCTGCATTGTTCTAAAAGTGGCCTTTGTGTGATAGATTGAATTCAGAACGTCATAATGGCTGACCATTGTGTAATAAGGAGGACAGACAGGGGTTACATTGACACATACAGAGATGCTTTTGTCGTGAAAGATCTCTTGAATGGAAAGAGAGGGATGAGAGGGAGGAATAGTGGGATGAAGTGTGATGAAGAGAAAACATGGATGTGAGAGGCAGGAAAGGGGAAAGTGGCAGAGTAAAAAGGCAGGAATAGGTAGGAGAGCACTGATGTAATTAAACAATTGTACAAGGCGTAAAATACAAATACAAATACACACCACTGTTAAATCAGGTTTGTTAGGTTAAATTTAGAAAAGCAGTTCAACTAGTAGAGCATGGTGCTACCGATGCCAAGGTCATGAGTTCAGTTCCCAGGGAACACACATACTGATAAATAGCTTGAATGCACTGTAAATAACTTTAAATAAATGGTCTGCAAAAAAAATGTGTAAGAGTAAATATGTGAAAATTCATCATTTATTCTTTATACGAAAAAAGGTGCCAGGACATTTATAACAAATCTCCTTTTGTGTTCCAAACAAAAAATAATTCTGACCAAAATATACATTTTGTTTACATATGTTGTTTTTCAAATAGAATGTAGACAAATACACTTCTGCAGTGTGCAGAAATGATCTGCTCTCAGAATAATACCACACATTCCTTATATCTACATCTGCGATATACCAGAGCCAGACAGCAACCACACTCAGCAGTTCTGAGCTGCACTCCGGCAAAGTCGGGTAAATCTTTTTCCAAGGCTTATATTTGAGAATTCCTTCCTTAGCTCTGCTAATCTTATTCTGAAGTGCTGGAGCTGATTTCACAAAAACCTTGGCACAACCAAAACACAGGCAAAAAAAAAAAAAAAGGGACAGCAGCATCCAGTTATTATTACTAACAACATCCAAGCCGAAAAAATACTGATAAAGCCTTTTATCAAATGAATGCAGTCAATACAGGAAAGCTCATAAGAGGTTAATTATTATAGCTCAATGATGCTTTTTCCCATTGTTTTGGTGAAAGTTGATGCTCAGTATCATTTTATGATCATATTACAAAATATTTTTTAAATGAATGATTTAATGGCAATGGAAAATGACAAATTTTCAGCAGTCATTACTCCAGTTTTCAGTGTCAGATTATCCTTCAAAAATCATTCTATTATGCTGATTTGGTGCTCAAGAAACATTTCTCATTAATGTTAAATAGTTTATTGTGGAAATCATGATATATTTTTTCAGGATTCTTTGATAAATAGAAAGTTCAAAAGAACAACATTAATTTGAAATATACTTTTTTGTAACAATGTAAAAGTCTTTACAGTCTCTTGACAGTCAATTTAACACATCCTTGCTGAATAAAAGGCATTCATTTCTTTTTTTTTAATTTGTGACTTTTTAACGCCATTGTATTTAACGAATAAACATGGAGTTTCAATATTTTACATTTGCGTGGCATTTTTATGCTGACTGTCACGTCATTTGCGTAACTCTCATACTTGGAGCGCCTGGTTCGAATTCAGAAGAAGTCAGCGGGAGGTGATTAAAAAAAAGAAAAGGTTGGAAACTTCCAGAATAAGGCAGATGAGAAGAGAAATCACCTTTTCACCTTTCTCTGCCTTTTTCCACTGTTTGCAGCAGTGAATCTGGCCATCACTCTGTACTGAGGTTTAATGCGCTGTAACCGAGTGTGCTGAAAAACCTACTGAGCAATGCCAAAATACACAGACTGCTGCTTCGCTCTACGTTTCCAGTCTCTCTCTAGGTTAATAACTCGTACAGGACTGTGAATCTTGAGAAAACATATAAAACGTAACCCAAATCCATAACCCTCACGGCACAAATGAGCATTATTATTTTTATACAGAAAAGAGATTTGGTCAGAGCTTACAGTGGCTTAAGCTGTTATCTGTTCTGGGCATTTTTAAATAATGTATTATGAGATCAAATCATTCCCAGAGACAGTATTTGTCACAGCTATGTGTCCTACCCGGCCAAGGCAATAAAAGCAAACATGTGGTGAGGTATTTAGACAATGTTATGACACATAATAAAAATATGAATGAATGCTAGAGCCTTTTGAAGCCAGGCTTGTAATGATCAGCAGGAGGACAAGCAGATTGATCACTGCTGCTTCAAATTCCTTTCATCTGACCTCATCTGTTTACTTTCTCATTTTATATTCTTACAACAGCAAAGGTTGTTCTTGCATTTCAGATGCACTACTTTTCAATTTTATGCCAGACAGACACCTTTGACTGTTGCGACAAGTCTCACTGTTTTTCAGCATTTCACGCAATGAGCAGCGCATTCACACAACACTTTCCTTTGCTTAAAAACAGCATTTTTAAAACTGAACTACATTTAACTTGACAAGAAATGTCTTGTGTGAATAGTTATGCCATGTCATTGTCAAGTTAATATCACAGTCTATTTTTAACATATTTAATCTTGTTTTTCTTGATTGTTTCATAATGTGAATAAGTTAAAGAGGACACGTAATAGGGTTTGTCTTCTAACATCTTTTAACCTCTCCCTGATTTTGACAGGAACAAATTCTGCATTGTTTTTGTGTTTTCTTAACGTTGTTTGTGAAGGATGCAGCTGTCTAGGAAGCTGTTACGCAGTATCTTTTCAGCACTTTTCACAGGAAACCCTGTGGCTTTAGTGGATCAGAGGCAGTCGAGGGGTTCACAGAGCAGAGTTTGAGGAGCGTTTAATGCATTCTGTCATAGTTTGGCTTTTTTGTGACTTTGATCACCTCAAACAATAACATTTTAAGCAAATGTATTTAGGTAAAATGCAAGCCTGTGATTAGTGATAAACAATATTCTTTCACCATATAAACATTTGTTATGCTTTCTCTGGCAGTCTAGTTGTGAGGTGGATTTTCCCTTAGAAAGTACAATTGAGTGTAGAGTCTGTTTCTGTTTTGAAATGTTAGATGTCAAAGACAGACCTTTATAGTGCTCTGGTGTTGTGTCAGGCCCGTTTTTTGTTTTTCAGGTCTGTGTTGCTGATCCTACTATTGCCCACTAGTTTGAACCTGAGTCAGAGGGGCTTTCCAAAGTGTACGAGAATTCACTTTTTGTTTTGTTTTATTGTTTTGGTGAGGTGGTCTACTTCCCCTTTTCTTTATTTTTTTTTATAAAGTTCATCTTTATAATATAGCCTAATATAATATAATATAATATAATAATGGCTGCCCATTCAGGGTGTTTCCTTGCCCACAGCCTTAGATAGATTGATAATATAAGAATACCCTCCCCTACTTCGTTTTTCTTCATTTACTTACACCAAGTTCATCTTTTAATATAATCTAAAATGTCCAAATACTCTGAGATCTCCATCGCCGTCATTGTTTGTAATCATCAGAGGGAAATTGTCTCGCATGTAGACGACATCTAACGTCTTGTGTCTTTTACAGGTTTGTGCAACAATTCTGAAAGCGAAAGAAGCGTTGTTCCTTTTTTTGCCCATTGATGCACTTCCAAAATGCCACAGCAACGATATTTGACAGACACTGTTATGTGTTGTGCGTGTTTGTGTGTTTGTTACCATAGCTACTCCTGGACAGAGCCCTGGGGTTGGGTTATCTGTTTAAGCAGTCATCTCCTGTAGAGAAGGCTGTTCTAATGGCCATGCACTGACTCACACCCACACTTACACAGGATACACCCTCACATGATTGGCTCGCTGCCAACGGCAAAGCTCACGGTCACTTCCCACAGTTCCCTGGGAGTTCCCTCTTACTTTCCATAATGACGTTAGGAACAGTACTTGAGTTAAAAGCCTTTTGCAAATTACTGACTGCAGAGTTTCTCAACTTAGCGTTATATATGAGGACCCTACTGAATGAAAGTATAGAGTTATATTCTTAGTTTTTATGATCGATTATGTCAATCTTTGTTGGTCGGAGAGAGAATGTAGACTCAAATGAAAAATGTAGACCATTTGTTTGCAGAATAAATCACAGGTGGCACATATGTTTGCAATGACACTGATAACCAAAAACGCTTGCATCATGCTTCATCCATGTCAGTAGGTTTCAGCATAAAGTCTGAGACTGAGACCACTGTCGTACTGGCCAGCGAAAGCTGCTTAGTGCACATTTAAGATGGGGAGTTAAAGGACTGGGATATTCATGTGACAGTGGCTGATAAAGAGCCACACTCTTGGTGTTAAAGCTGTGTGTGGAATAAGGAAACGAGCAGTAATCCCCAACTCACGCTTAAAGGCCCTGCTGTTAGAACTGTATGACCTTGCAAATTCACCAAATAAATGCAGTGAGAAGAACAGCACTTCAATCAGTCATCTTTGCTGCCTTTAGTTATTATAAGTTATTATTATAGTTATTACAAGATGATCTGTGTGAGAATGAATGGTAGAATGTACCTTTGTATTGACTTATTACATGACACTCTGGAATACTTGATTCTGATTGGTTAATTGCATTTGGCAGTGAAATATTTGTGCATAATGACCACAAAATTATATATTTAAAAATGTTCTGCTTTGTACTTCTAGAGTAGTCTTTTTCTTCTGATCACATAATCAGATAATTTCACCTCAAATCAGTATTTGATTATTTTATTTTATATTTATTTAATATTGCATTATTTTAATAAGTAATATAATATACATTATTTTAATAAGTAAGATAATTGTCAAAAAGCTGGTCTTTATCGCAAAATTGACCCCGTCAAGATGATACAAGACCTCATCGCCCTATTTTTAATTTTTTTTGAATGAATGAAATGGCTTTTATTCAGCAAGGATGCATTAAAATGATCAAAAGTGACAGTAAAAACATTTATAACATTTCAAAAGATCTTAATTTCATATAATTGCTTTTCCTTTGAACTTTCTATCAAAGAATCCTGAAAAAAATGACTGTTTCCACAAAAATATTAAGCAGCACAACTAGCTTCAACGTTGATAATCATAAGAAAGCAAATGAGCATATTAGAGCATCAAATCAGCATATTAGATTGATTTCTGAAGACAGGAATAATGGTTGCTGAAAATCCAGCTTTGCATCACAGGAATAAATAACATTTTAAAATATATAAAAATATACAACTTTATTTTAAATCATAATAATTTTACACAATTCTACTGTTTTTTTTTTCAGTGTGTTTGATTAAATAAATGCATCCTTGGTGAGCAAAATATTGAAAAACATTTAAAAAATCTTACCGACCCCAAAAGAAAATGTGTAATGAATATAACGACCAGAATACTCAACCCTTCTCTTTATCGGTAGAGCTCAGTTCAGGAGATTGGAGAGGAGGTAGAAGACGGTGCCATCTATACCATCACACTCCGAAAGGTGCAGCTCCACCAGACGGCTAGTAAGGGGCAGCGATGGCTGGGCGTGGAGACAGACTCTGCCCTCAGTTTGTACGAGACATGCAAGGGTCGGACCATTAAGGCTGGCACACTGGAGAAACTGGTGGAGTACATGGTTTCGGCTTTCAAAGGGAAGGACTATACATACGTCACTATTTTCCTCTGCACCTACCGAGCTTTTGCCACCACCAAACAAGTGCTGGACCTGCTGCTTAACAGGTAAACAGGCCATCAACCCCAAGCACTTTTGGAAATATAAATTAATTCACTATAATGTTACTTAAAATGGATTCTTATCTATCTTAGGTATGCCAAACTGCATGATCAGCCAGTCTCATGCAAGCCAAAACTCTCTCCAGAGGACTACACAGAGTTTAAAAAGTATGCATTTACATTGTTCAACTAAACCAAATTAATTTAGCTGCTGTTAAATTTGCGAGTTTGTGAATTTTAACCATATAGGTACCATAGCGGATATCAGACGATATTTATTCGTTTTGTCTATATTGTTTATACTGTATATCGGACGATATTGGACATTTAATTGTGCATGCTTATTTTTCCTATTTTTAAATGTATACTACTTTTAAGTCATCAAATCATGACAAAAATAATAAGTGGCTTATTGATATTGCAGAGAATTTTAATATTGATGCATCCATATTTTTATGTACATGGCAGTACGGTCTCATCTATCCTGGGTGCGTGGCTGGATCAGTACTCTGAGGATTTCTGGAGCCCTCCAGACCACGAATGCCTGCAGAGCCTCATATCTTACTTGCAGCTTAACTTCTCTGGATCGGACCTGGAGAGACGAGCCCATAACCTGCTGGAACTCTTTCAGCATCGGCAACAGACTGAGGTTGAGCTTGAAGGTATTGATGATGAAGTAACCCATTGAATCCTGTATTAAAAGCTAAACAACTAAAAAGGAGTTTTCCAAACTGACTGTATGACAACTTCTTTGCAGGTGATCTGTGCACCTGCCCCTTTGCCACACCAGAGGAGAGCAGCTTGGATGATGAATTCTCCCCCTCACACTTTACATCCTTCAGTCCTGCCCTAGTCGCTGAGCAGTTAACAGTCATGGATGCGGTAAGAGATCAAGAAATCGTCAGTCTTTCCTAATGGCAGAAGTAATCTAGTGGTTGAGGATCGGAGCTGGTGGTTAGAAAGTTGGCTGCAAAGAAGTAAGCAAACTGGAGAGAGAATAAGGACAATCCTGCACCACACCCTTTGTACAAGGTGCTCAACCCAATGTTTTATGGGGCCTGTTTATGCACAAAGTATATGCCATTCAGCATGTTTTAGTAGATTTTAGGCATTTCAAGATTAAGGTCAGCTGAGAGAATTAAACCTGGGAAAATGATTTACTTAAGTCATTACATGCCATAAATGTAAATAAAGTTGTCCTGCAAAACATTCTCAAGGCTCAAATCAAATTAAACAGGTGAATGCAACTGAACTCTTTGTTTTTCGTAGGAGCTGTTTAAGAGGGTTGTTCCCTACCATTGTTTGGGTGGCATATGGTCCCAGCGGGATAAGAAGGGCAAAGAGCACCTGGCACCCACCATCCGTGCCACTGTTGCTCAGTTCAACAGTGTGACCAACTGTGTGATTGCCACCTGCTTGGATAACAGGTCTCTCAGACCCTTTCAAAGAGCGAAGCGCATTGAACACTGGATAGAAGTGGCCAGGGTGAGGCACCATTTTAACAGTGGTTTTGTCGTGGGATATAGTCAGAGGCACAAAAATGCCTCTCTACCTACATTTTTGCAAAACTCCAAAAACATACAATTCACTGCAGTTTCACACAAATCATGATTACCGATTTTGATTATTGATAAATAAAAACGTATTTGCTCAGTTCCTTGCACAATGCTATGTTATGATCTTAAACTCTTTTACCATAGTACATAATATGTAAACAAATATATTTCGACATTTTCATCATATAGCCAGCTCCATACAGTATATATGGCTTTTCTGTCATAGTCGCCATAGGCACGGTTTTCCAATAAGCTTGGGTTGCAGAAGGGGTATGCACTGCATGGAGAAGCGACTCAAAGAGGAGCTCCAAAATTATATTGAAGAAGAAACTCAAATGGGGGACCACAATTTTAATTACTAAACCTAGGAATGCCCTTGTGACCACTCAGCAACTGCATAGCAACACTAAAAATCTCTCAAAACACCTAGCTACCACATATAAATGCTCTATAACACTCACAACACCTAGCAATCTAATAGCAATGCCTTGTTATTGTAAATGCAGGGTATAATTTTATTCTCAAGCAGTCCATAAGTGTTATAGTTCATGAACATCTCTTTGTTTGTCTTGACATCAGAAATGCCGTATCCTGAAGAGCTTCTCCTCTCTGAAAGCCATCCTGTCCGCCTTGCAGAGTAATGCCATCCACAGACTGAGGAGAACCTGGGATGATGTGTCCCGGTAGGTGTTTGAATGGATTTTTGTCAGTATTGATTATACAGAGTCAACGATAATATTTTAGCATTAGCATTAGCCGCTGATTAATAGTAACATGCTTTGTGCTACCTGCTTATATGTTCAGTCATACAAACCTCTAGTTAAAGCTCAACTTTCTTTATGAAAGACTTGATTTATAGTGGGGCATTTGGTGATAAAGGAGCAGAAAAGTTTTAATGCTAGTTAATTACAGAGTTTGGATTTCACATAGATGCAACAGATTATGACTCAACCAATTTTCTTCTGCTTACAGGGAAAGCTATCGCACTTTCCAGGAGCTGTCCGAAATTTTCTCAGATGACAATAATTATTCCCTCAGCAGAGAGCTTCTCATTAAGGTGAGTAAAATGGTTGTTGAAGGGGTCTGCGTGTGTTTTGCTCACAGTTGTTCCCAAAATGTTCCCAAAAATTCTGCAGTCGCAACAAAATAATTCTCTAACACACATCTTAACTATACCAAGTGGTGAAATTACACCCTGAAATGAATAGATAAGTATAATAATAATAATAATAATAATAAACTAAACAGTCACACTTGTTATAATATAATACTGTTTTGATCTGTTTACTAATTGCAATGGTTACTATTTACTATTTTCATAGTGTAATTTTTGGTTAATTATACTAAAACCAGTTTGGGTCAGTTTGACCCTCAAACATCACAATAATTATTAATAGTAAATGGAACTTGCAACAATTAAAAAAAAAACTACACAATAGTATTGTCCCTGTTTTTTGTTTTTTAAAGATCATAACAATTGATTCAGTGATATCTTGACCACTGAACTAGGAAATGTTTCTATTTCAAAAATCTGGTCACGTTATAAGTCACATGTTCAAACACCCAGCGTTTTTCAAATTTCTAAAAGTGCACTATAAGCCACCAACGTTCGCTGTATCTGTTGTTGGTGGAAGACAGGATGTGGTTATATCAGACTGTCATCCACAGGAAAGCTCAGTGACTTAACCAGTGTTTTCATTGCTTGTAAAACCATGTTTCTATAGCAGCCACCAGGGTAACAGAAAAGCCTTATTCAGTTGCATAGTATCTGCAGCATGCTCAAGGCTTGGCTCTCTATGGCCTGCTGAGTTTTGTTGAGTACAAAGTCAAATGCCTTTGTTGCACTTTTCACTAGTTGGCATGCTTCTGCATTTGATAGATGTCTTGAAAAGAATCCTTTAATGATAAAAGCATTATGCAACTTTGAACAGAGGGGATCTTGAACAGTAATTTTGTACTCAGCTCTGCGGTTAGTCATACATGTTGTGTAAGGTAAGACTTGTTTTCAGAGAATATACCTTTATTTTTTATGTACTTTTAAAAATTAGAAGGATTTTGTCAGGATCATGTCCAGTTTTTGCCATCACAGGAATAAATTAAAATATATGAAAAATATATAAAAATAGAAATAGTTATTTTAAATTGTAATATAATTCAAAGTATTTTTGTTTTTACTGTATTTTTGATCAGATAAATGCAGCTTTGGTGAGCATAAGAGACTTTAATCAAAAAACATTAAAAAGTCTTACTAACCCTAAACTCATTCATTCATTCTCTGAAAATCAGTCTTACAGAACTTTACTTATAATCAAGTAAATTAATCTTGTTTTAAGATAAATGTATCTTGTTTGGTTAGTGAAATTGACTCAGATAGACCTTGTTGTGGCAACCTGAAGTTCCATGGCACACAAATGTATAGAAGGAGAAGGAAACCAAGCATGACAAAAGCTTTCCTTTACGTACATTCAACGTTAGAAAGCAAACTAGAGCAGAACATCAGAAAGCATCCTTGGCATGTGTGCTGGGGCCAAGAAACAAAACAGTTGCTGCTGTTCATTATGAGGGAATTCCTGGGATGAGGTCATAGGCCTTATGTATGGCCAGATAAACACCCCTCCTTAATACCTAAGGGCTTCCCCAGGGTGTTAGCTGGCACTATCACTAAACACCATACAGTCAAACTCCACGTCCATTCTGCGTCATGGTATTTCATGACAGTGCAGTCTTAAGATTCCACTTTGACAGCCTTGTCTGCCTGCAAGTTATACTGCTGCTAATACAGCGTCAATGTAAATGCTTTCCCTTTTGAAACCCAAAATGATGATTTGAAACTGATGTCTCCACAGGAGGGCACCTCCAAATCTGCCATCGTCGAGATTAACCACAAAGGAGCCCAGAGAAGACACCAGCAGCAAAGAGACATGGTATGTACAGGAATAAATGTCACATAATGTCAGGTGAACTTTATATTTATTGAGCAACAATGCCCTCTTATGGTCAAAATGGGTCAGATATTCCATTTGTAGAGCTCACAATAAGCTGTCCTGAATGGAAATGTAAACTGTCTGTATTTTGCTCAATGTAAATTGTAAACTGTATGTTTATTTATTTTTATTTTTATTTCTGCTGTTTAGGGTGTTGTACAGGGAACTATTCCATACCTTGGCACTTTTCTGACTGATCTAGTCATGTTAGATACTGCTATGAAAGACCATCTTGAGGTGAGTGTTCAGTGAAAAAAATAGAAGTCTTTAATATTTTTAGTAATTAGAAAATATTCCTTTGGTTCTCACAAAATATATATTTTTTTAGGTTGGGCTGATCAACTTTGAGAAGAGAAAGAAGGTGAGTCGCAGAGGAATACAATATTGTTGGAAACAATTTCATTTTTTTTCCACTTAATGAACGATAAAATAAGTAACGAACCCGCACACTATCAATACTTGCTAATTCTTAAACTTTATTAAACGCAACGTTTTGGTCCACTGACCTTCATCAGGCAAATGTATAGAATTAAAAACAAGACATAATTATATACTTTCACAATCAATGAGTATAATTGACAATCACATGTGGACTAATTACAAACACATTTGTAATAGATACCAGTGGCTCAAGTATACAATAGAAGACACTTTACAACATCCCCAATGAAAAATATATCATTCACATACAAAAATAATTATGTTTATAAAAATCACAATTGGTTATCAGAAACCGCACATCTTAACAAGGTTTTAACTTTCACTTTCACTTAATGAACGATAAAACATTGACAGCCAATCAGAATCCACCCAAGTTTAATGATCTCACATATTTAAAGCAGCAGATGACAAAACTGTGCACACTTATAATAAACAGACTGTTATTGTTTGTGTAGGCACTAATATAGTTATCTTTATAGTTATTGTTCTTGGCTTTAAGAGGGACACGTCTAATGAAGAATAATATCGTACATAAGGAAATAAAAATAATAAAAATAAATAAATTAAATATATTCTTTTTGTTTAGGAATTTGAAGTGATCGCTCAGATCAAGCTGCTGCAACTGACCTGCAATTATTACAACTTCACCAAAAACCAGCGCTTCATTGAATGGTTCAAGAGGGTGGAGAGACTTACAGAGACTGAGAGGTGAGAAAGAAAAAAGTAAATATGGAGGATATAAAGACATATGATTTGAGAGAGATATGCTAGAGATAATAATGTAAGATATTTTATGTATTTACTATCTATGGTGACTTTTCTGTTTCAGCTACTCTATGTCCTGTGATATCGAGCCGCCATCTGAGTCAGTGTGCAAAAAGAACGGGGGCATCATCAAACGCATGAGCGAGGAGTCGGGTTACAATAGCGCAGGGACGTTACATTCTAAGTCCTTTGAGCAGCCACGCTTAAGCCAGTTCAAAGACAGCTTCAAAGATGGAGCAGATTCCCTCAGCCTCACCTCAGCGGGATCCAGCGGCTCAGACGCAGAGGAGACGAGTCTCAGTCTGCTGAACTCCCCAGAATCAGGAAGTCAAAGAGTAAGGCCATATTGTTTATTTACAGACCTAGTTTTATGCTTAGCAAACATTGTTGAGATTTCAAATTCTGCCGTTGTTGGCAGTGATACACTATATACCAGTTCCATATCTGTTATTGGTCAAGATTAAAGAATTTCTAATTAATAGATATCGACTGATGTTGGATATTAAATTGTTCATAATAATTTCTCTTATTTTTATATTTATGTAACCTTTGCCATCATCTAATGCTCACTTAAATTTTATGCTATCAATCTGTAAATTCACCAAAATTCTAAATGTATTTATTTATTTATTATAATTTTTTATATATATATATATATGTGTGTGTGTGTGTGTGTGTGTGTAGTGACTCTGTATTAACCTGACTACTGAATCTTTCTCCAGACATCCACACCAACTGTGAAACATTCTACATCAGCCTCCGATACAGGGGAGCTTGCGTCTGATTCCTCTTCCAAGGTATTCGCATTTTCTTGAACATGTTTTGTCATTTAAATTAAATTAAATACTTGCTTTTATGAGCTTTAAACATATTGATTTATTTCTGTATTTTCCAGCTCTGGGAGTCATCCACTCCTTCATCCTTGGAGGCCTCTGGATCAGGCTTGGGCTTGGAGTCTGGCTGCAGCAGCTCCACCTCTTCTTCTTCGTCCTCAGTCTCCGCCTCTTCAGGGAAGACCTTCCATTTTCACAAACGGTCCGTCTCTGGTGTCTCTGACTACTCGTCTCTCTCCCTGCCGCTGTACAACCAGCAGATAAACGACTGCTGCATCATCAGAGTCAGCCTTGATGAGGACAACGGCAACATGTACAAGAGCATCCTGGTGAGTGAGAGACATTACGCGAGATGGACAGAGATATATGATGAAGAAAAGTTGGTGAGGTAGTAGTAAAATTAATCTTGATGATCGTGTTTTGCAGGTCACTAGCCAGGACAAAACCCCTGGTGTCATTAGGAAAGCCATGGCCAAGCACAACCTGGACAATGACAAGTCAGAAGACTATGAGCTTTTACAGAGGGTCTCTAAGCATAAAGGTAAAAACCTGAAACAGGACGTTGGGGCTGGAAATATCGAAGGGTTCGTTCTTTTTAGGGTTATATTGGTACATTATCAGTTACTGGCAGATATTAGCGATTTTTTTAAATTTATCAGTATCTGACGCTTTTTTGGATATTTCATATTTATTTCCACTACTGTTACATTTAAATTACCTTAGCCATTATCTAACGCTCTCTTAAAGTTATACTTTAACACCAATTTAATAACAGTATAAAAATTCATATCAATTTTTCATAATATACATTATAATGTTGTGATGCTGTAAATTCACTTAAAATTATTGGCTTTTTTATTTGTTTGGTCTAATTTGTTTGACATTTCAATATCAGCTATTTATCAGTTATCAGCCATAAAATGAAAATAGTTATCAGTTAATCAGTTTCAGCCAAAATTGTATTTATGGTATTTATCGGACAAAAAATGTCTGTTATAGATATTCATTTTTTTTGTCTAGTTTCCAGGAAAAAGAAAGACTGTAGTTTTAAATGTGTATATCAGATAAAGGTTTAGTCACCTTTTTGGTGTGCATTAGAATTTAAATAGTCTGAAATCTAACACACATGGACTAAAAGCAGCTAAAAGAACTTCAGTTCTGAGTTTGATGGTATTTTCAATTCCAAATTAAGTTTGTTGATATTTCTAACTTTCTTTTTTTTTTTTTTACTCCACAGAACTTAAAATCCCAGATAATGGAAATGTTTTCTATGCCATGAACTCATCTGCCAACTATGACTTCTTGCTGCGAAAGTGTGGCGCCACCAAAACCTGCCGGTCGAAGAGCTCCCCGAGCCTGACTCTACCACGCATGAAGCAGAAAGGGTTCAAAATACCCAAGGGCTTCTTCTGAAAGTGCTTTGCCGAGTTCAGCAAGCCTGAAGCTGTTGGAGATTACAAAGAGTCACTTTATTACTCCCCCAGTATTATCTGGATCTTTAATCCAATGGATTTACTGCATTATAGAGCTGCTTGTTTCTTGCAGGAAGCTGTCCCTGTGTTTCCTGTCCCTACAGACTATGCGATAGGCACAGGAGGACCACTGTGGTACTTACAAGGTTTGCCTTAAGACTGCACATAAGAGCGAGGCACACTGTGTATGAGAAGCATTTACCAAATGCAGTCAGTCATGCATGAGCACACTAATCAAAGACATTTCAAGCACTTTAGAAAGGTCCTGAAAGCAGGAGAGCAGTTTGGAGAGCTGATTTGGTCCTTTTCAAATTCAAAGTGGATTTTCTATTGATTCATCTTCAAAAAGACTCTCCCTTTGGACTCAATAGCAAAATTTGCTATCACAGGCTCATGGTATAGATACAGTATTACATGTACAGTACAAACTCTGTAAAGTGTATAGTCTTTTGTTTGCTTATTGTTCTTTTACATGGCTGTTTTGACTGTTGCTGCTGTCAGTTTAGCTTGCCTGTTTTCCTGTCACTGATCACAAACTGAAACTAGCCTTTCAGGCAATAAACGGATCGCTCAAGACTGAAAGATTCTCTTTTGACTGCTAAGTGACTTGGTTAAAGTCACATTTGAGCATGAGGAGATGGCAAGTCTGAGCTGCAGGATTTACACTGTTATTTATGGTTTATTAAATAACCATAAATAATATTATTTGTGCTTATTAGTGCATAAAAATTGCAAATCTATGTCTTAGAAATAAATAAATGCCAAAGCCGTTCTCTTTTATTTGCAGCTGGCCTCTCTCTGTGTTTCACATTATAGAACGCTGTAACTCTACAGAAAGGCTTTTTTGTACCAAACACTGTGAGTGGCTTCACCCTGCTAAGCCTTTTTGCATTGTGAATTATATCCATGAGTGCTTTCTTACCATGTGGTCTAAAATGATGAGCAGAAAGTTTGAGGGGATGTTGTTCCTATCAGGAGAGATTTCAGATGTGTTTACTCAGCCAGAGGTGAATGTTAGTGTGTGTGCGTTTTCATTTGAGAGAAAGGATATAGAGGAATTTATATTGTAATACAATGAAAGAAATACACCAAGCATTGGTGGTATTCTGCTACTATGCCAGCTATATAGCTGAACTGGAACAAAATATAGATTGTGCTTAATTTATGATTTATGAAAAGATCAAAATGCATGGAGAAAATATATGCCAATAGTGGTTTCACTGTTAAAAACGTCTTCTTGACAAACACGCTGTCAGGAAACTACGACCATTAAGTGAAATATTCCTGCCTGCGGCTTGTCACTCGACACATGTGAAAATACAGTTGTATTTGTTTTTGTCCCCTTTTTAGCCTTTTGTATGTCTGAATCTAACTCTGAATGCTAATGTCAAAGAGTTTGAATGTTGAATTCCAGTTTGTGCCATTGCCACATTTTTATTTATTTATAAGTTTGTAATTGTTTTATTTATAATTTAATCGTTGTGAAGATAATTAATAAATGCACCTTTGTATGTACAAACAAGCACTACATTTTTTAAGAACTTACAAATAAATGTGGGGGTGCCGAGACCCCAGTACTTGACGCTTCTGTGTTTTTTTATTTCACCTACACAAGCCACATGGCAAACAATGTTGCTGTAAAAACCTTTCCTATGACATTTAGATCCTTTAACTATAGAAAATACCAGACAACCAAATATGGCATCAATATTAAATATCAATACAGGTATCAATTATTTATAAATGAACTAGGTATTAATTCATCATATAAAATTTAATTAAAGGGGTAAATGTTTATAAAACCATTTCTTTCTTTCTTTCTTTATTGATTTTAATATTATTACAAATATAGCCAGAGGGTACATTAGGATAAACAAAAAATGTGTGGGTAAACAAACAAACAAACGAATAAAATATAATTTAAAGAAATAAAGTTAAATAACAACAAATTGGTAAGACATTTTACACCTTTCTTATTTTTCAAACATAAAATTGTTTTTAGATATTGTTGAATAACTTTTTTTTTTATGCTTTATTAAAAATATGCAAAATAGTTTCTTTTTCTTGACCACAAAATTCACAGGTATACGAAATATTAAGCTTAAATCTTTCCAAAGCAGGATAAATTCGATGAAGTATTTTGTAAGACACTTCCTTAATTGTGTTATTGATACAAAACTTATTTGGCAGTTTACATGCTTTAACCCAAGAGATATTATCAAATAAAGAAGACCAAAAAAATCTTGCTGCAGGTAGGGACACAGAACAAAGAGCATTCCTTATAATCTTATTGCTACACTGTTGTTTTAAAACGTCGACATTTTCAATGAAAATGTTACCACAAGGATTAACCATGCTGATTTCTTCTGAGATACAGTTTTTAAAAAGTAACATCACACTCTTTGGAATTGCATCAAAAACAATAGCAAATTCTCTTGGTTTAACTGTTAATTGGAATTTCTGAAGAAATTCAGTATACGACAACAAGTACCCATGGTTCTTTAGAAAAAGTCTTATAAAATTCACTGGTTAGCCCGTCGTTGCCTGGAGATTTGTTATTCTTTAATTGTTGAATAACTCTTTAAAATTAAATTCGGAGCCCGCATACGTCATTTTCCTGCGCCAAACAGATCGGGCGCTCGGAACGAGTTGCGCTAACGTTCAATATGGCGTTAAGCAAAACATACGGACAGAAACCTATTAAATTCCAACTAGAGGAGGATGAAGAATTTTACATGATTGGATCAGAGGTGTGTAATTTAACGCAGTACGCTATTTTTACGAGGATTTATGTTTGTATAAACCGCATATTGTGTTGCATTGAGTGCTAATACATCAGCTAGCTTGCTAAGATTACTGTCGATTGGGATAAGATCGCTAACTGATGATACATTGAAAGGAGTCCGTCCCGGCGTTTTACACATTAGGTATAGGGGTGTCCTTTGCGGTGTAGTTGTATTATTACAAGATGCGAGTTCACCAAAGATAAAAGAGTACAGACACTGACAGAACTAGCCCTGTTCCATTATGTTGTCTGTGTTTAGGTGGGGAATTTCTTACGTATGTTCAGAGGGTCTTTATATAAGCGCTACCCATCACTCTCAAGAAGACTAGCGACAGTAGAGGAGAGAAAGAAAATAGTAGCATCATCTCACGGTAAGTGTGAATTCACTGTAAACATTTGATAAAAGGTCTGAGGACTTAAAAGGGTTAAAGTTAGCTGGAAGTGGCACTTTCTGTCTTACAGTATAAGCAATGTTTTGTGTTAGATCACGGTTACACCACTTTAGCCACCAGTGTGACGCTGCTGAAGGCCTCCGAAGTAGAGGAGATATTTGAGGGGCATGATGAGAAGTACAAGGCTGTGTCCATCAGCACTGAACCTCCAGCCTATCTCAGGTAAACCATTTCTCACCTTTGATGAAGAAAATGCATTCACACTTGCTTCATATTTGAACATGGTCATTACAGAGGATTCTTATGCATAACACAAATGACAAAAATTACGTTTTTCATAATTGACTATAATTGTACTCTTGTTACATTATGTAGATAATAAAAATAAGACATTTAATGCAATAAGCTTCTTTCGTTGGGGTTCTCCTTTCCTCTGTTTTTGCAAGAGATAAATTACATTCATATAAATATCTTAATTTATGAAAAAAAAATTTTTTATTTCAACAAACAACCCAAAAGAAAGAATCATATAATCATTTTATGCACCAGTTTATCAATACATAAACATCATCCACATATGTTTTAAATAGGAAAATGCCACACAGAGACCTGTAAATATTTTCGGGTTATGGCATGAGTGAGGAAATTAGTCTTATGGTACAGTATTTAGTGGACATAAGGCCTGTTCACACCAAGAACAATAACTATTAAAACAACTGTAGCAATAAATATATTCGCATCCACACCAATGGACAATAACATTCTGTTGTTTATTATAAGGTCATTTGTTTTGTTTTGTTTTTCATCCAGCCATAGTTGTTGAATGACAGCACATCTGCCTTAAAGGGGTCATATGATGTTGCTAAAAAGAACATTATTTTGTGTATTTGGTGTAATGAAATGTGTTTATGCGGTTTCAACAATACTACAGCGAGAATAAAAGTTACGCCTTCTTTCTTTGTGTGAACGTTTGGGCAGCATTATGCAAATATTCCCACATCGTGATGTAGACATGTGGGGGCGTGTTAGAACGAGCCGTTTTAGGTAGGCGTGGTTGACTCTTAACTTTTATAAAAAATATCTCTTTGGATTTGAGACTTTAGTCTTTGCAACTTTACAGATCTTTTTTATGCACCAAGAGCTTGTAACACTCCAAAGAGAAAGGAAAAATTGAAATCACATCATATGACCCCTTTAACACATGGTTTCCTTCACAGGGAGCAGAAAGCCAAGAGAAACAGTCAGTGGGTGCCCACTCTTCCCAATAGTTCCCATCATTTGGACGCTGTGCCTTGCTCCACCACTATTAACCGCAATCGACTGGGGCGTGACAAAAAAAGGACCTTCCCGCTCTGGTGAGACTTTTTTTCTAATGGGCCTAATCTTTCAATTTCACTTTGAGCTTAGCATCACTGTTCATAAAGTGATGGACTCAGAAGTTCATCAGTTTTTGACAGCATGTGAAAACATTATGACTCCCGTAATGATGTTTTATGTCTGCTTAAAGTGATAGTTTACCCGAAAAAGAAAATGCTGTCATCCTTTAATGTCCTCTCAAGTTGTTCCAAACCTGTATGCCTTTCTTCTGTGAAACACAAAAGAAGATATTTCAGGTCCCATTGACTTTGCATGGACAAAAAAATACTATGGAAGTCAATAGGAATTGAAAAGGTTATATATACAGGGGTTGGACAAAGTAATGTGAACACCTGGGAGATAGGCAGTATTTCTTTATTAAGATGTTTTACCACCATTTGACTTCAATACAGCTTCCAGCTTTCTTAGAATATATTCATCCAACTTTTGAATAGTCTTCAGTTGAATGTTGTCTGTCAAAACATCTGCCAGTTGTCTGAGATATTTTGGAGAAGGGAATCTGCTTCTCGCTCTTCTCTCCGAAAACCGCCCATAGTGGATTGGTATTCCAGTATTCAAGTCAGGGGATTTGTCTGGCCAGGGCAGATGTTGAAGTTCATCTTGATACTCCAACTGTTCAGGTTTCTTGATCATGACACCATAATTATTGCATTTTGTGATTAAAGTTGTAGCAATTGCAGCTCTTTCATGGATGTTGGATTTATTTGTGGAGCTCTCTGTGTGTGATTTTTGCAGAAACAGGGTATTCAAGGTGAATATTGAGATTTTTAGTTAATTAAAACTTATTCTACACTGATATAAAACTTGCAGAATATAAACAACAAAAAGATATAAGATAATTAAAAAAAATTTTTTTATATCACTTTCTTTTGTCCTACCCCTGTATATAATTTCACTAGTTTCATTGTCTTACTGTGTTTGTCCCCTGGATTTGTGCTATTACAGCTTTGATGATCATGACCCTGCAGTCATTCATGAGAACGCCACTCAGCCTGAGATCCTGGTGCCCATTCGTCTGGACATGGAGATTGACGGGCAGAAGCTGCGTGATGCTTTCACATGGAACATGAATGGTGGACTCCCTTACATACGTCCTGAGCAGCATTCATTGAATTTATTTTTGAATGTTTTTTTATTCCGCATTACACAAGTGCCTGAACTCTAATATTTTCCTTGACCTGATAGAGAAGCTAATGACTCCGGAGATGTTTGCTGAAATCCTTTGCGACGATCTGGATCTGAGCCCACTGACCTTTGTTCCAGCCATTGCCTCGGCCATCAGACAGCAGATAGAGTCCTACTCCACAGACAGCATACTGGATGAGCAGATGGACCAGAGAGTCATCATTAAGGTACATGCGTCATTCTGTCAAGTCACCTTAATTTCAGTAATCCCATTTTTAAACATCATATCTCATTACTCAATTATTTTGACCATCTGGTGGTATGCATGGAAACACAAGGCTGAACATTTATTTTTTAAAAAGCTCGCTATATTCATAATATCAGTGGTTTTTTTATGTCTCTTATGCTCACCAAAGCTGTATTTATTTGCTCAAAATTACAGTAACTGTAATACTGCAAATTATTATTCTATCGTATATTCTAAAATGCTACATTTTAAGATGCAATTTATTCCTGATCTTTCAGTCACTCTAATATGCTGATTTATTGTTCAAGAAACATTTTTATTGTAATCAATGTTGAAAACAGTTATGCTGCTTAATATTTTTGTGAAAACCGTGATGCAGTTTTTTCAGGATTCTTTGGTTTATAAAAGTTCAAAAGAACAGCATTTGAAATGGCTTTACTGAGCCTACTTGATCAATTTAATGTGTCCTTGCAAAAAAAAAAAAGAAGTATAAATTTTTAATAAATCTCATAATTTATTGAATGGTAGTGTATATACAGTATTATCATGTTGTTATTATTCAGTTGAATAAAGATAGATTATCATGGTTTTTGATTTGTTGTTGATTTCTCTCTCTCTATCCTCTCTCTATCTCTGTAGTTAAACATCCATGTTGGGAACATTTCTCTGGTGGACCAGTTTGAATGGGACATGTCTGAGAAGGAGAACTCTCCTGAGACGTTTGCTCTGAAGCTGTGCTCTGAGCTGGGCCTGGGAGGAGAGTTTGTCACAACTATTGCATACAGCATACGCGGTCAGCTCAGCTGGCATCAGAGGACCTACGCCTTCAGGTTCAGACTTGTACACACACAAATCCTTTATTAAGGAACACTTTATCACAATCCTAGCCAAGCATGAATTCTTTTAAAGGTTTTTCACTGCTTAAGATAAAATGTAGTAAAAAGTGAAGTGTTTGTGCGTTGCTGTATGTTGATAAAACACAGAAAAGTATAGTCCCCATATGGGTACAGAGAAATTTTGTGAGTTTGACTAATTTAAATGTTTTTCCGTTTATATGATAAAGACCATAGGAAAGTGTTCACAACTTGTAAACGAATGTGAACTTTCTCCAAGTTTGGACATCTTTTCAGACAGTGTCTAATGTCTGGGACATTACAAAACTCATCAGAAGGGTCATGTTTTTCCTCTGGGAGGAAGACATAAATTGTTTAGCCCATTTTTGTGAACCTACTAGTAAAGATCTGACTCAAAAAAACAATTGGTCTCTGAACTGGGTCTAAAATACTGTGTTTTGTCTTTTTGTAGTGAGAACCCTCTCCCCACAGTGGAGATTGCCATCCGAAACACAGGTGATGCTGACCAGTGGTGTCCGCTGCTGGAGACACTGACAGATGCTGAGATGGAGAAGAAGATCAGGGACCAGGACAGAAACACAAGGTAAGAGAATTAACTGCAGTTTTCTAAAGTTTTTTTGAAAAATCACATACCCTGCCTTTAAGATAGCGTTTTGCCCCATAGCAGGTGTGCACCAATTAGAGAGGCAAGCCATATGTCAATGACAAACTATTGTTTCAGTAAGACCAATAATACTTCTTTGTACAGATTTTAATTTGAATATTTGGGAGATATTGTGACTGTTTCAGTCCTCATATCAAACTTTTTCTGTTTCAGGCGAATGAGACGACTTGCAAACACGGCCCCAGCATGGTGAAAATAACAGCCCCCTCCCACAACTATGTAAATCTGAAGAGGAAATAGCAATAGAGCTACAACCCGGCATTACTGACATAAAATCATAGAGACATTCCACTGGCCAGTCCAGATCCAGTCCCTCCAGATCAGAGTTACTTACTATGAGATACCCAGTATCTGTCATCTTGGAGACAGACCGTCTCTGTCTTGAAATTGAGAATATTTTATGGTATCTTTATTTGTCTTGTTTTGTGTTTGTGTATAGATGCCATTTTGTAAACATAATGTGCTTTTAAATAAAATTAAGAGACTCTTTTTTGGAATGCTTTTCATTCCCAAAAGCTTGCAATAAACTTTCAAAGACAGTCCCAATGGGGCAAGTGGGACAAGTGTCTAAAAAAATAAGAATCTCAGTATTGTGTTCTGAACTAGCAAACTGGTCACTTGAGTGCTATGGATTTGGGTATAAAAA